ATGGCAGCGGATTCCTTTGCTTTGTGGGGCGCTTCTCTATGTTGGGGAGATGAGGACCGCAAGCCTGCAACTCTTGTAACCAATGGCCTCAACGGCCTCTGCCCGTCGACAGGAATTGTGCTCAGCACAGCGTTCAGACGTGTGCGGCGCACCGGTTGCCTGTGCTGAAACGCTCCCAGGCGCGGTCTTCTTTTGTCAGCGGATCTTGGCATGTCGAAACAGGCGAGAGGTGCGACCAGCATTGGCTACGGCACGGGGTGAAGGTCGCAGCCTCAGGGATATGCGCCTTTCCTGTTTAGATTTTGGAATGAAGCGAGCCTGGTGCTTCTCCTTGTGCGATCCTCGTCTTCTTCTCCAGACAATTGTTTCACAGACTGCGTGTGGCTTTGGGCTTTCTCAGTTTACTTAGGGCGCGAACGAGCCGCCCATCCTCTCCACACAGGACATCCTGAACCATGAGGACGGGCAGGCGGCTGTGTGAAATGTCGTCCATCAAGCGCGACAGGCCTCCGTGGATTGTGCGCCCAGAGCAGCCTCCTTGCGGTCCAGGTGTGATCTGGCATGCAATCATTCGGCACCTGGGTATGTTGGCTGACTTTGCTTTGGGAATGCAACATCACTTCCCCGGATCGTGCCAGGGCAAAGTTACACAACTGGCAGAAGGGACACTTCTGTTGAACTTCAATATTTCAGGGACGCACTCTTGGAGATGGATTCCTGAGGAGGTCCCCTCAATCCAACTATATGCTATGTTATTGCAGCCTGAAAATCAATGCCTTGCGACCACTTTATCACACTGAACTCCACATGCTGATTTAGGGACTTTGCAACCTGGGTTGACAGGAAAGATGGCTGCGAGAGCACTGGCGTTGAGGCAGGCAACCGGGTAGTCTTGAGGCCAAGAGACTTGCAGAAGGGAAACACCACACATGTTTCTTGGTCAGCTTTTGGCCACTCGCAAAAAGCTGCTCCAAAGGAAGAAACTGACACCTGCACAGAAACAGATCGCTGCGCCTTCCGCGTCAGGCACAAGAGCCTTCTCCGAATTGGCGGGCGGACCAGACCAATGGCGCTGAGGGTGTGAGTGACCGGTCGAGTGTCTCATGGGCACTGCCGCCCGAGGCCAGGGAGAAGACACCGGAGGCTGCTTGCAACGGAAACTCGCTTTAATCTTTGCATATCTTTGCACCATTCAATGTTTGGATTCCATTTGCAAAGCGGACTACAATTTCTGAGTTCTGGGCTTTCTAGACTTGCGGCAAATCAAATTTCGGGGATACATTGAAAGACAGGAGCACACATGCTCGGTGGGTGATAGTTGGAACTCTGTGCTTTGAGACGAAGCACTCGGGTGTCTGAACAATTGCAAACCACGACACGCGTCAGGCCCAAGCGCCTTGCCCCGGTGGGCTGGCGCTTGATGAGCTTGATGGTGCTGTGGAGCGCGTGAGCGACCGGACGAGTCCCTTCGGGGCAATGCCGCCCGAGGCCGGGTCAACAAAACTGTCTGAGCAGAGGACAACAATCCCTGGTATGCTGACGTTTGGGGCGTTTTGTGTTGCATGGGAGGCATGATATTGCGCGGTGTTGGTTGGAGGCGTCGTGTTTAGTTTGGGAGAAATTCTGGACTGAACACATGGGTTGTCTTGTTTGGTTGGCTTGATTTCTGGTTTGTTTCGATGAACAGCGACCAAATCATTTTGCGGCGGTTTTGAAATACCTATGCCTAATATCAGGCACCAAGGCATTTCACATGTTGGAGTCTCCACAGCAAAGTGTGTTCTCTCAGTTCCAACCCTTGCCTGCAGGCACAAGAGCCTTCTTCTTTTCGGAAGGCAGTGGAGAAGCCTCACGGCGCTGCGGAGGGTGTGAGCGACCGGTTGAGTGTCTCATGGGCAATGCCGCCGGAGGCCGGGGCAACAGAATGAACTTGTTGGTCACGGTTGCGCTGGTCGAATGCTATGAAAGACTGTTTTTGTCATTTTTCTTATGATTACGTTCGGTCCCTGGTTCTGTTCACGGCTTGGTGGGGATGTTGGCTGACCCTGGCCCACTTGAATCCTGGAAAGATGTACAGACCATGGCTTGTTGAATTCTTGTCAGCAAACGTGGTTTCTGGCATTTATTTTGATGGTGCATTGTGTTGGCCAAAGGCAGCTCGTATTCTCAAAGTGAAGATCTTTCATTAGGTGAGCCACCACCAACTTTCATCAGGCGTAACAATCATTCGGATGTTTCTCTTCATGTGAAACAAAGAACTTACCAGTTCGTGTGGAGACGAAATTTGGGCTAATGCTTTGTTGGGGACATTGGCAAAAGTGTTGCGCAGTTAGTCGAACCAAGTAGTTTTGCATGTTGATGGCTGCAACGCTGCGAGCGAAATGGGCCAAAACCCACCGTTTTTGACAGTCATGGCTCCCAAAACGCCAGGCGACTAGTGCACCGTGACCAAGCAACGGAAACTAGATTTCAGCTTTGCACCATTCAATCTTGAGAATCCATTTGCAAAGCGGACTACAATTTCTGAGTTCTGGGCTTTCTAGACTTGCGGCAAATCAAATTTCGGGGATACATTGAAAGACAGGAGCACACATGCTCGGTGGGTGATAGTTGGAACTCTGTGCTTTGAGACGAAGCACTCGGGTGTCTGAACAATTGCAAACCACGACACGCGTCAGGCCCAAGCGCCTTGCCCCGGTGGGCCGGCGCTTGATGAGCTTGATGGTGCTGTGGAGCGCGTGAGCGACCGGACGAGTCGCTTCGGGGCAATGCCGCCCGAGGCCGGGTCAACAAAACTGTCTGAGCAGAGGACAACAATCCCTGGTATGTTGACGTTTGGGGCGTTTTGTGTTGCATGGGAGGCATGATATTGCGCAGTGTTGGTTGGACGCGTCGTGTTTAGTTTGGGAGAAATTCTGGACTGAACACATGGGTTGTCTTGTTTGGTTGGCTTGATTTCTGGTTTGTTTCGATGAACAGCGAACCAATCATTTTGCGGCGGTTTTGAAATACCTATGCCTAATATCAGGCACCAAGGCATTTCACATGTTGGAGTCTCCACAGCAAAGTGTGTTCTCTCAGTTCCAACCCTTGCCTGCAGGCACAAGAGCCTTCTTCTTTTCGGAAGGCAGTGGAGAAGCCTCACGGCGCTGCGGAGGGTGTGAGCGACCGGTTGAGTGTCTCATGGGCAATGCCGCCGGAGGCAGGGGCAACAGAATGAACTTGTTGGTCACGGTTGCGCTGGTCGAATGCTATGAAAGACTGTTTTTGTCATTTTTCTTATGATTACGTTCGGTCCCTGGTTCTGTTCACGGCTTGGTGGGGATGTTGGCTGACCCTGGCCCACTTGAATCCTGGGAAGATGTACAGACCATGGCTTGTTGAATTCTTGTCAGCAAGCATGTTTTTTGGCATTATTTTGATGGTGCATTGTATTCTCAAAGTGAAGATCTTTCATTAGGTGAGCCACCACCAACTTTCATCAGGCGTAACAATCATTCGGATGTTTCTCTTCATGTGAAACAAAGAACTTACCAATTCGTGTGGAGACAAAATTTGGGAACTGTGTAGCCCAATGCTTTGTTGGGGGCATTGGCAAAAATGTTGCGCAGTTAGTCGAACCAAGTAGTTTTGCATGTTGATGGCTGCAACGCTGCGAGCGAAATGAGTAAACACCCACCGTTTTTGACAGTCATGGCTCCCAAAACACCAGGCGACTAGTGCAACCGTCACCAAGCAACGGAAACTAGATTTCAGCTTTGCACCATTCAATCTTGAGAATCCATTTGCAAAGCGGATTACAATTTCTGAGTTCTGGGCTTTCTAGACTTGCGGCAAATCAAATTTCGGGGATACATTGAAAGACAGGAGCACACATGCTCGGTGGGTGATAGTTGGAACTCTGTGCTTTGAGACGAAGCACTCGGGTGTCTGAACAATTGCAAACCACGACACGCGTCAGGCCCAAGCGCCTTGCCCCGGTGGGCCGGCGCTTGATGAGCTTGATGGTGCTGTGGAGCGCGTGAGCGACCGGACGAGTCCCTTCGGGGCAATGCCGCCCGAGGCCGGGTCAACAAAACTGTCTGAGCAGAGGACAACAATCCCTGGTATGTTGACGTTTGGGGCGTTTTTGTGTTGCATGGGAGGTATGATATTGCGCGGTGTTGGTTGGACGCGTCGTGTTGAGTTTGGGAGCAATTTGGGACTGAACATATGGGTTGTTTTGTTTGGTTGGCTTGATTTCTGGTTTGTTTCGATGAACAGCGACCAAATCATTTTGCTGCGGTTTTGAAATACCTATGCCTGATATCAGGCACCAAGGCATTGTACATGTTGGAGTCTCCACAGCAAAGTGTGTTCTCTCAGCTCCAACCCTTGCGTTCAGGCACAAGAGCCTTCTCCTTTTTGGAAGGCAGTGGACAAGCCTCATGGCGCTGCGGAGGGTGTGAGCGACCGGTTGAGTGTCTCATGGGCAATGCCGCCCGAGGCCGGGGAGAAGACACCAAGTTGCTTGCAACGGAAACTCGCTTTCAGCTTTGCAAGTTCAAGCTGTTGGTTCCATGTGCAAGCGAGACAAATGTTTTGGAGCTTCTGGCTTCGTACACCTGTGGCATTTCAACTTTCGGGAATACATTGAGAGAGCACACATCGGTGGGTTAGTTTGGACTTTATGCTTCGAGACGAAGCGCTCGGGTGTTATTGAATCCTGGTCCAGGGGCGGCTCAAAAGTTGCCAACCAAGACACGCGTGCAGGCACAAGCACCTTGCTCTGGTGGATTGGCGCTTGATCAGCTTGATGGCGCTGTGGAGCGCGTGAGCGACCTGACGAGTGGTTGCAGGGCAATGCCGCCCGAGGCCGCATAAGCCTACTGGTGACCAGATTGCTGTCGAGTCCAATCCTTTCAACAAGTCTTCGAACATATGAAGTTTGCCTTGCAGAGTGGTGGGATTGTTCTTTGCGCTTTCAAGTTCTCGTGTCATGTGCTGAGCATTGGACAGCAATCCTGGGTGTTGACCTTCAGGGCAGAGAGGTAGTGTTGGTTCGACACGTTGTGCTGAGTTTGGGTGCAATTGGCCTGGACTGAATATACTGAAATTCCAAGCGGTACACAGCTTACACAATCAATCCGGAAATATTGCTGAGTTGGCCAAAAAGACTTCGGACAGTTGGGATGTTGGGGACACGCTCATCCCCTGAGCCATGCCGCGTGCAGGCACCAGCCGCGTTTCAGGATGGAACCCTCTTCTACGAGGCCGGCTGTCATTTTTGTTGCGAGAGAGTGGGCGGACGGATGCGGACTGACATGTCGCCTCGTATTCGTTTTGCAGTCCACGTGGGCAACGTGTCCTTGCATTCCGTGCCGCTGAATGCTGGAGAGTAAGGGAGAGCGTGGGCGCTGTGGTTGTTTTACTGGAATATGCTTTCTGGGGCCGACTCGTGTTGACACGTCATAGAGTGCAGGTGGAGAGAGGTTGGAATGGCGACAAACAGAATATTTGCGAGAAGGCTTGAATCCACACTATGTATCTAGGGCTTTCCAGAGTTATCACATAAACCTGGCATGCATGAAGGGAAATTATGCTTAGTGGTGGGGTTGGTTTCAATAAAACGTGGGTGGGCATTTGGGTGAAACGCGGATCACGTAGACGCTCATCCCTTGCGCCCTGCCGTGTGCAGGCACCAGCCGCCTTTCAGGATGGAACCCTCCTCTACGAGGCCGGCTGTTTATGTTGTTGCGAGAGAGTCTTGTCTCTTATGCTTTTTGCAGTCACGTGGGCAACGTGTCCTTGCATTCCGTGCCGCTGAATTCTGGAGAGTAAGGGAGAGCATGGGCGCTGCGGTTGTTTTAATGGAATATGCTTTCTGGGGCTGACTGGTGTTGACATGTGCATAAAGAGCAGGGGGAGTGAGGTTGGAATGGCAACAAACGGAAGATCTGCGAGAAGGCTTGAATCCATACTATGTGTCTGGGGCTTTTCAGAGTTATCACATAACCTGGCATGCATGAGCGTTTGAGGGAAATTATGCTTTGTGGTGGGGTTGGTTTCAATAAAACATGGGTGCGCATTTGGGTGAAACGCGGATCACGTAGACGCTCATCCCTTGCGCCCTGCCGTGTGCAGGCACCAGCCGCCTTTCAGGATGGAACCCTCCTCTACGAGGCCGGCTGTTTATGTTGTTGCGAGAGAGTCTTGTCTCTTATGCTTTTTGCAGTCACGTGGGCAACGTGTCCTTGCATTCCGTGCCGCTGAATGCTGGAGAGTAAGGGAGAGCATGGACTCTGTTGTTGTTTTACTGATATGCTTTCTGGGGCGGACTCGTGTTGACATGTCATAGAGTGCAGGTGGAGAGAGGTTGGAATGGCGACAAACATAATATTTGCGAGAAGGCTTGAATCCACACTATGTATCTAGGGCTTTCCAGAGTTATCACATAAACCTGGCATGCATGAGCGTTTGAGGGAAATTATGCTTAGTGGTGGGGTTGGTTTCAATAAAACATGGGTGGGCATTTGGGTGAAACGCGGATCACGTAGACGCTCATCCCTTGCGCCCTGCCGTGTGCAGGCACCAGCCGCCTTTCAGGATGGAACCCTCCTCTACGAGGCCGGCTGATGGCGAAAGCGTGGGCGGACGGTGGTGGATCTGCTAGTGCAGTAGGTGGGGCCAATGTAAAGGCTTGCTTTTTTTTTCTCCCTTTTGCAGCTTATGCGGGAAATTGTTGTGCACTTATTTCGTGCTAAGGGCGTGTAAGTGCCGTGGTTGCATTTGGACCCAACATGTGGCACACTTCCAGGATGGTTCCCTCCTTGATGATGCCTTTTTTAGCCATGATTTGGTAACTTTGTTTTTGGGCGCTGACTTGTATTGGCATGTCGATGGAGTGCAGATGGGGTAAGGTTTCAACGGCAACAAACTGACGACTTGTTTGAAGGCTTGAACCTCATGTTTTGCCGGTACGTTTGAGGGATCCAGAGAGATGTGGCACTGGTGGGTTGAATGAAGTGTGGGATTTGGTTGGCTGTTCGGGATCCTCTGGGTTGCAGCTTTTGGATGCTCCCTTGCAGAGCCACGCCTTGTGCAGGCGCCCGCCTTTCAAGATGGAAGCATCCCCTACCAGGCCTGCTTATTTGCTTTACATGTTTCCATTTTCCAATCCTGGCAGTTGTTTTTTCGTAGCAGAAGGCCAATCTCGACGCGGCAGCAAGCCAGGTTAAGTCACAACTACAAGTAAGCAATCTTGTAAAGTGAAGGGGTTCTGTGGATAGGGATTTGAGAGTGGGATACCACTTTTCGAGAATCTTGTCCAAGAAGCCACAACGGAGAAGTGAACACACGGTCTGTACGCCTTTGCCCCTAGTCACCAGCTAGAAACCCTGCCGGGTTGACCTAATAGTTTGCTAGCTTTTTTTGTCTCTCTATGGTTTTAGCAGCTGGGTGAAAATTCTCGCACTGGACCCAGCCAGCGGCAAAAATGGTGCTAGCAAACTGCGCAGGACA